CTTTGTAATGTAAGCTCCGGGCCCCCCCGGGTGTAAGCTCACGTAATTACAAAAATTAAGGCCCCAAAATTATTTCGTGATTTAAACCACTTGCATGGTACACTTATGGTAAACGTTGCATGGCTTTTGTTTTTGGATTTGTCACACGGCATGATTGCAGAATGTGTTTCCATGCAAGAGGCTAACCAATGCTCGTCAAGCCTTGTCATCAAAGATTGTATTTCCGTTCGATCAGTGTGATATTTTGTAACTTAACCGTTACGATGTCAAGAGTTAAAACGAAATGTTTTTCCATTTTTTTTTTTTTTCAAATAGTCGCCCTACCTTTTCAGGCCCACATTGCAAATGTTAAACGCGCCAGCGGCCTTTTTCAGAACCAAGAAAACATAATCACTCTCTAAAATTACATTTCTAGATAGTGTGTGACCGGGGAGGGGGCCCGGGAGGGGGTTTCTTGACCCATGTTTGGGTATAGGAGTGATATGGTTTAGGACGAGAGATGAAGATCATGAAGTCCCTATGTGACACAGTGACTTCAACTCTTGTCATCACGATACCCAACACAAAGAAACAAGACCGATGTATATGTAATAGGACTACAAGCTGTCCAATTTGGAAATAATTGGATGAGAAAAATTCTGAGGACTGCCAAATTAGACTCGGCCGTATACCTATTAATTATATAGCATTCAAACAGATGAACAACGCAAATATCAAGCCTCAAGCTTTCTCACTTCGCTTCGCACAGCACGCCACAGGTCAAACGCTTTAACCCAGGTTTTTGTGCTTCTTTAAGTGTTCTTGTTCTGATTACTCTTCCTCATCTCGAGTAAATCAGTAGCATCTATCTCTGGAAACCCAGCTGAAGACTCCATTTGAAAGTTTGAGACGTCAAAAAGGTGGAGAGAAAAGTCGAGAAATTCCGCCATTATCAAAACATGATAAAACTTAGCGAGCTACAGTCGCTCGCTGACGTTTGATGGCAGGATGATAGCTGCAACCTGATTGGACAATACTCGGTTCTTTTATTTATCTTGACATTTGATTGGTTGATGGAAGTATTCAGATTTTCTTAAATTGGACAGTTTGTTCAAAGCTAAACTAAACGTTCGAGCAAAAACTATCCAATTTATTTTAAATTTGGACAGTTGGCAAAAATTACTAAAAAATAGATCTGTTGGCACTACTGGATTTCGATCCAGCTATATAATTAGAGCTATTACCTCATTACCCTATTAGCCTATAACTTTCGATTGAAAATTTTGATCTTTGTATAGAAAGGCAAGAGGAACGCACTTATACATTAGTTGGGCTTATATCCGGGGGCTTATATCCGGAATAATATCTCTGTTAGCGAATAGAAGGACTTATATTCGGGGGGGGGCTTATAACCGGGGGGCTTTTACGTGGGATTTTACGGTACCCTGTTTAGGACAAGTTTTGACTCTGACTAGGACTGATGGTTGTAAAATTGTACATCCCGTTCAGGACAGTCAGGCCAAAAACCATACCCTGCGGCAGAGGCACGTTCCTATATTGGCCAAATAAGGGAGTCCCCCC